GAATAGAGTATAAACCGAAAGGATTGTCTCCGTAGCCGCGTGGGGTGAGCGGAGTGCCATTGCAGGTAGAGCAAGAAACAGCAAGGGGGGCGGGCTCTTCGAGAGCTTTTGTGTGGTTAACGGGTTTGGAATCAGGAAGGCTGGGTAGGTAGAGCGCAATGGCACGCTCGGGGGTTTTTGGCAGGAGTGGGGCTCGAACCACCGCATTCCAGTTCCGGCCGGTTGTTGGTGCTATCCCTCTGTCTGTGCAGGTCGGATCGGCAGCTGGCAGACCAAACTGACAAAATATCATACAGCCGCCGATCCAACCTACATAGACATTAACAACCGATTAGAATGCCCCACTCCTGCCCTTGTTCCAACCGTACCACTGCGTTCATCTTTACTGAAAGATGAAGAGCGAGGTAGCACGGTCTCGTAGCTCAGTCGGCAGAGAGTGTGGCTGTTCACAACAAAGTCGCGAGTTCCAACTCATCGGACAAAACGGTCTCTATGTTCCGCCCACATCCACTGCCGGGACCCGAACCCAGGCCGTACGGGTGAAAGTTGTATATCCTTGCCACCTAGACTACAGCGGAAAACTGAGAAGATTGCCTCTGTAGCCCAGTGAGGTGGGTGCTGATCATTGACTCTTGATAGAACGATAGCATCAAACACGAAGCGCCTTATCGTCCGGCAATGCTCTCTAGTTTCTCGATATGACGATACTCTTGGGGTGCCAACATCTGACAGCCACCCCCTGCCAACTTCAGAACGACAGACCAACAGACAGCCGACAGAATTTGAACCCTTGCCGACAGCTCCTGGATTTGAACCAACGCGGGCGAAGCCCAGTAGATTACAATTCTACCCCCTTAACCACTCGGCAATTCTACCCCCTTAACCACTCGGGCAAGCCGCCCCAAAAGTAGTTCGCTTGGGGACATACAGGATGCATTGCGTGTGATGACAACGAAACATTCTATCACGAAACCGCAGATGCTATCGGATCGGCAGGTGTAATCGGTATCGGCAGGGATCGGAACCTGCGACGTTGTGGTTAGCAGTCACGCGCTCTGCCGGCTGAGCTACGAAACCGTGATACCTCACTCTTCAGCTTGCAGTAGAGATGGGCGCAGGGGTGGTGCGATCGGGAACAATACCAGGAGCGGGAATCGTGACGGTAAGCGTCACTGATATTGTGATCGGCGCTCGCCCCACCCCACTGGTCTGGTGGTTCCGAGCTCCTTGGCACGGACGTGCTCGAGTTTCGTATTGATTTTTTGGGGTGGGCATGGAAGCACGGATCTCGGTGTGGGTTGCAGTCGACTCACTCCGTAGCTCGGGGGAATCCTACTCGTGTCGGCTGTCGACACCACCTGTTGTACCTGAGAGGCGCAACTGAAAGTGTTCATAATGTGCGTCTGCCGAATCCGGTCGCCTCGATGACAAC